CTATTAAATATCCAGGATTCATGGAACCTTTATAGTAAATCCGCGCCTATTTCCAGCCCAGTGCCCACAATCCCTAGAGGCAAATTATTTTCAGTAGAATGTTCTTGGAAATTCTGAACTCTAAACCAATGTACCTATCCGTAATTATTTGTTGTGTTACAACAGACGCTCCTCTATTTTTATTAATTTTTCGTATATGAGAGCCGTTGCTCTTATTTATGCTTAACTGGAGTGACACTACTGCTTCAAGAAACATCGCCGTAAAACATAACGTTGTATTTAGTCGTGTGAGTGAGGTTACCAATGAGGCATAATCCTATTACATTGTCGCGGGGCTCCGGCTCGACGTGCAGGAAAAGGAACGGGGTGGTTTTTAGTCAGTAAGAGTCTGACACTCCCTCCCGCCTCACCAAGGCGGAAACAGTCATTCGATGATTTTCCCCCCTTAAAAAAAAGGTTAGGTATAAAACTGACCACTACGCTAAAACTACATGAAAAATCCACTTTATCATGGAAATACTATACAAAAGCATCCCATTTTAATTAGTGTACAAAACACAGAAGATAGAAGTGCAGAAATCAGGCTTATGTTTCATTTATTTTCCAAAATAATGAGCAGGATGCGAGTATATGTTGCATAATATTAATACAATACCTGTGGTATTAACAAGGACCTTTCCCATTTTACTAATGTACATTATGCAGATATGTCATAGAAGTACTAGTCATCCGTTCGTCCGAGTTTAAAGACTTGTGACAAAACATAAAAGAGCTTATTAACAAGAGTTCTGTAAGACTGCCTCGACTGCCTCGTTGGCCGAGTGGTCCGGTAGAACGAAGTCTGGAATTATGCCCAGTATATGGCAATAGGCTCACCCCCTATTACATGGGACTCATACACCAACATAAATAGCGAAGAGTGGATGTTACATTGTACAGTGACATTAAGTACTGTAATGTGCACCTCTGCCTATCTCTTCGGGGATAAAAGGTGATATGTTATGAGATCAGAGGTATGTAGGAACCGTAGCAAATGGCGTTCCAGTTTCTGCCTACCTCAATGGGAGACAGTTGAGAAGTTATGCAATATGTATTTATGTATAAAACAGATTATTTTAGAATACATTTTTGAATAATCGCACCAAAATGACCTATGCCTCCCTTTATACCTAATTCTTTTAAACAGCTATCTCCTGTCCGCTGGCTAACGTGGAATATGGAAAACCGGTCTTTTGTAGATGACACTCATTGTTCAGCAATAGACTCGCATAGGCCGTTGATAATAATAATAAAGGAGTTATGGAAATGGTGTTGAAACGGTATGGTCTTTAGTCCCCGAGCGTATGGCGCGCCCCGAGCGTACGACGCGTCGCGTTCCGCGCGCGCCTCAAAGAGCCATCAAACCACCACCGATTCAGAGCTGCGGAGACCCTAACAGGTTACCGGGGCTCGAACTGGAGTAGTAGGAACGGGGTGGTTTTTAGTCAGTAAGAGTCTGAGACCTCCTCACCCAGGCGGAAGAAGACATTCGATGATATTCCCCTTAATAAAAAAAAAATGGTCCTTAGTCAGTAAGAGTCCAGAGCAGAGAGGTATCGTTTGATGATTCCCCCCTTAAAATCCCCCCTAAAATAGCTAACAGTCACCCTGTTGATAAGCTAAATGATAATACTATTATTATTTTCTCCTCTGACCGGATTAACGTTCTTCATAAATAATTAATTATATTCAAGAACGAAACATTTTGAAATGCGGATGAGAATTCAAATGTGAGGACGAAACCGTACCTAACTATAAACCCAGTAACATGCTAATATTTTGTTATTATTCCTTTAAGCGACAAAATAGTGGAATGTTTTAATGTTATGATGTTTTAGGACAATAATTATATCTGCCTACCTGCCCTTAATACAGCTTAAGAGTATGTTTGTTGATTTGAACGAGTTATCTCAAGAACTACTGATTCGATTTGAATAATTAATTATGATTGGTTGGCTATATTTATAATGTTAAGCTACGAATAATAGTAGCCTAGAAAACAGCACGAGAGAAGCTATTTATCTAGAAACCTCAATGTATTTAATAAAAGAAACGTGTCATGAAAAATAAAAAGCCGCGCGGCGCGTCGCTGCATACGCTGTGTGGGCGCTGTCGTTGGCTGTAGCAGCATAACTGCCAATAACTGGCATAGGTACGGGTTTCCGTAAGTACTCGTACGAACACACCCGAAAGATCCCGAACGCTCAAATGACCGACTGTATAGACGCCAGCACGTGACGTTGCTCTAATCTGTCAAATTACTTCTAAACATTTTCAACCTTAACTAGTTCAACATAAAGTCGAAAATCAAGAGAAGAAATTTGAGACGGTTTACCTGCACTTCCCATGAGAGGGCGTTCTATTCGCAGTGTGCGAGTGGTGCGAACATACTGTGCGAGTTACCAGTGAATTTATTTAGTGATCGCTTGTACCATCATAGGCTCGTACGTATTCGTGTGTACAGATTCAACGTCACAAACAAAACAAAGCTTGGTGGAATTTAAAACATAAATAAAGATGAATAAAGTGAATACAGAACAATTTATTAACTTGGTCCACGAACATAAATGTATATGGGATCTGAATGATTCGAATTATCGTAAACGTGGATATCAGGATGCGGCATGGCTTAAAATATCGAAAGAAATGGAAGTACCTCGTAAGTATAGTTGATTATTTAAATAATGTGTTGTTTTAATCGTGTAATGTACCTACGTATTGCTAAGTACCTAAATCAGACCAATAGTGTAGTGTATTCTATTGCTTTTCAGTTTATACACTAAAAAAGAAATGGCGTGGGCTAAGGGACACTTTCGGGATGGAACTAAAGAAAATCGACAGCAGAATTCTTTCTGGTGAAGCTACTATAGACACTGAATCTAAATGGGCCCACTATAAGCACATGTTGTTTCTACGAGATATTATGAAGAAAAGAAGCATGTCAACAACAAGTGCGAATTTTCTAACCGAATCTATCAAGGAAGAAGAGGATACAAATTTAAGTTCATATTCCGATAACTTCCAACCTTCACCATCACCCTGTCAATCTTCGACAATAGCATTCAAGCCACTACAAATCGAAGAGAACAACTTAAAATGCTTTCCAGAAATCACATACGATTCGGATGCCCAATTTCTAATGAGCCTCTTACCATTTTTAAGGGATATCCCTAAACATCGCAAATTACAAGTTCGAGCAAAATTACAACAAATTTTTATAGATGAATTCGATATTCACAACTCTGATCCAATACAATGTTGAAAACAATTCACTTCTTTGAATAAATGAGTGTGTATCTTTAGGTCTATGCTTTTAACATAAATCCATAATAAAATAGGAAGCCTCAAAAGGCAACAATACGCTACGGAAATTAAGAAAAAAAAAGAAAATCTCACCCCTCGATATTTGCGGAGGGTGGCAACCACAGACTAAATAGGGTGGTGGATTACGCCTGCCGGCTCAGCCGGCTGCCATCGATTGCTAGTACCATCCGAGTACATGTGACTAGAAACACCTCCCCGACACAATATATTATTTGATAAGAATAATTAAATATGAGTGTATCATCTCTAGAGGAACAGCCTGGGGTGGGTTTGTTAATAAAAGTGTTATATTCATGCTTTGTGCCTAAGTTTGGTTATAATAACGATGTGGCTTCACACACGGTGAAAAATCTTTATGTGCAAGTGTGAGTGGAATTACAATGCAAATTAGCATTTGTTAGTTTATTTTTTGGTATATTAATAGTTTGTGTGAAACAAAAAACGCCTGGTAAAAATAAAAAGCAATGTCACATCACTTATTAATTAAAAATTGTATCCATTCCACCGCTTCAGCGCTTTGTTTTATTTATCGCATCCATTTCACAAATGTTCCTACATTACCGCTTGATCAATAATTTATTCTCTAGTGATCAAATAACACAAAAGAGAAAATAGTAATACGTGTAAAAAAACATGACTCCTTGCACTGAACTTTTTTAATAATAGCAACTCAGAGTATTATATAAGCTGTGGCAGGAACATTCCAATACTGCAACTGACAAAGAAAATAATTTTGGTCCCTGGATAAAATTTTTTACATAAAATTATGTTGAAATAGTAGCAGATTGAATTTGTTCAATAGCTTTTTAACATATATTTTAATCTATGTTGAGATGGTTTTTAATTTTCGCATAGGTCAGTGTAATATAAATCATGGTTTAGAACGCACCTCAAAAATGTTGCGACTATAAAAAAATACCGATAAATGTTGCACATTTGATTTGAAAGATTTTAATAATAAATATGTCCACTACATGAACTCATAAAAAGTACTATACCTATGAATTACAAATAATTTTTAAGACTTAAAATTCTTTTCGTTTTGCGTGATACTTGTGTGATTTGGATTGGTAAACGTTACTAGTAAAATATCAAAATGAACCAAAAATGATTTGTGCTACTTTAGTAAAAAATGCATTACTTATAAAAAATATAAAAGTAATAAAGGGGTACCCCTTTATTACTTTTCAAACAAGAATCTTCAAGTCAGCTTGTTCAAAGTTCCATTAATTTAATTACTATACAACGGGAAAAAGTGCATTCTATTCATGGCAACACAGAAAACCAGTCACGTCACTTCTCGACGTTAATGTGGGTGCGTTGTGCGTGCGTACGTTCATGAATTTGTGAGTGCTGTTTCATGTTTGTGTGTATTTCTGACGCCGTTTGTGACTTGCCTGTCATCCCTCTAATTTTGGATTTTTATCACTAAAACTCTTCAAACTGTCGTCTTTGGGTACGTAAACTTTATTTATCTGCCGACGCTCATTCACATCAGAGGTTACCCAAAACATTGTATTATTGTTATACGTGTAACCTGTTTGGCAGGCGTTGCCTGCCTGCAGTCAGTGGCCATAATTCGAAATTATATTAAACTCGCTGTAAATTTAGTGTTTTACGGTAAATTCGGTTATCGAATGTGTTATCTGGAAGCCGGTTATCTTGCGATTCCAAGTGTAGCTCGTGTTATTATCTCGGTGCGGGGGCTAGGCGATCGTATCGGCGGGTATGAGCTAACAGGCTATAAACTCAGTCGGCTTTTTGATGCCGGTCGGTGTACAAGTGTTCGCGTGTTAAAGCATGAAATTATAATGGTGGGGGTAGTGTGTTGTCTGTCTGTTTGTTTTTGTGTCGTGTGTGAAGTGAGCTAAGTGCTTGTTCTGTTGCAGGCTGGCAGGATGCTAAAGTTCATACGCGGCAAGGGCCAGCAGCCCTCTGCTGAGAGGCAGAAACTTCAGAATGAACTGTTTGCCTTCCGCAAGGTATGTATCTAGTGTATACTCATAGCCATAGTGATTATTGCACTTTAGAAAGTTCAAAACAAAAGTTTAATACAAGTCTACCAAGTTATATGTCTGTGTTTTAGTCACTAATGCCACAGACCTATTGTTTTCATAATTAATATCAGAAGGAAAAGTCCGAACTTGCAAATAATCATTGTAAGTGCAATACTTAATGAATTATGTCATTAGTCTGATTCTGATAACATTGCATTGAAGCTTATCAGTATGAGTTGGAATGTGCTTCAAATCCTTTACAGCTTCTTGAAAGTTACTTGCAGAGGACAAGTAGTTATAGTTTTAGTAAACTTTTTTGTTTTTTTGAATGTAAACAATCAATGTGAAACTTACTGAAAAAAGTATATACTTAATTATAAACTTGAGAGATGTTACTTTAAAAAAAAATTTGGTTGTATGTTCGAAGCATTTCAAAGAATTATATTTCTATGTATTTTTGATTTACTAATTAACTCGTTGAGTACCGTAATTATAGACACAATTTAAGAACAATATGTTGTGGTCACCGGTGACCGCTCGGTGTTTGACAGTTTAAATGAAAATATTTAAATGAATTTGCAGATATTTATTCTTGAGTGAATCATTAGTAATGCCCGGTTAAAAAGTATGTTTTCTTACATTATATTCACATTCTTGGAATTTCCAAAACAAGAAAAAAATTAACAACTCCATAAAAATATTAGAGTAGAAACTTACAAACTTTTCTACTAATATTGTTAAAAATAATAGAATCTCACATCATGATACAACTCTGTATATACAATACTAACAAAAAAGTAAATAAAGCTATGACTAATGACAATATTGAATCTCTGGTTCATATTGTTTGCCTTCGCCAGCCAGTTGTAAAAAACAACTAATTTACTCTATGACATAATGAATGTGCTGTGAGAACTGAGCCACTACAATGAGTAATTATGACGCATTTCTTCATATTTAATTAATAACTCTGCTCTTATTAACATTAGATGTGTTGAATATGATTTTCATTTAAATAAGTAGGTATCAACTTTGTTTACAAATCTTTTATGCATGTTTCTTTTGTAGCATACCATAAATGTATATTTCTGATCGGAAGAATGTTTAAGAAGTAGGTATTTTCTAAGTAATATGTTTAATCTGTCAAACACCAAGCGGTCACCAGTGACCGCGACCTATTGTTCTTTAATTGTGTCTATAAAACCGGTACTCGACGAGTTAAAAGTTATTCAACCTATTACTAAACACTGCACAGAAATTCAGTGTTGATCATCAAAAAGTTTTTAATACTTCAAAAACAGTGTAAAACTTTACTTAACTCTAGAAGACCTAAGCATAGACTGAATTACAATTATGTACCACATAGAATGCATAGCTCTGTGGTTAGGTTTGTCCAATTATTCAGCAAGGTTACCTGATTATTATGACTTACGACCTTCTTGCACACACCCTGATTCTATTGTGATGTTACAATGTATGTGTGCGTACAATACACCCATATGAATATAAATATTTTTAAGCAGGTCAAATATAAAGTTGCAAGATTTTTCTTAACTACATATTTATGTGCATAAATAAGGAAACACCATTGTTACTAATATAAATTACTTTTTTTATTAGTTTCTTATCTAATTTCAGTATCATCATTCTATGACAAAATTAGTCACTGTTGCATTAAAATCATTACCACCTTTAGGTACCTAATGTGACTGTAGTAAAAAATTAAAAATGCATTGCAAACATTAAATAAAAGTTAGTCTTCAAAAAATATTAGGCCCCATATTACAAAGATAACTCGAGCGGCTAGATTACGAAACTGTTTGCCTTTGTTATCGCCCTTTATTATTTGTTTCTAGATTAGACAGCACATAATTTTTACAGTACCGACCTGAAATTTCAGCTTCAAAATGGGCCATGGTCATAGTTGCGACACTTACTTATCTTGATTCATTACGTTTGCAGATTTCAGTTAAATTTCGTGCCTATTATAAATTTTCCCTAAATTAATTTGTTGTTTTAACCGCAAAAGTTTACGTTTACACATCATCACGTCCTCGGTTTTACGTAGGAAAACGAACGTCAATGGTTTAATGGGAATAGTTGGCCTTGACAGTGTCTTATTTAGTGAGCAATAAGAGCGTGTATCGCTATGCAATTTACTAGTACTGCATTCTAAATGCAACATTTTCATTTTTGGTATCGCCAATAAAATTCCAAAGTTCAATTTTAGTAGCAAACCAATCAGAACTGTTTACTACAATGACGTTGATAGAAAACATCATTATTAATTTTGTCTATTGATCGTCATTCACAAGTAAGTTTCTTATTGGAATCTATTAAGGATGACGGTTTCAATTGTCGCTGACTCCAACCAGATTGGAATCAAGGTCGTCATATTGTTTCGAATCAGCGTTCGAGTGTGATGACGATCGATCGCATCTTTACATCTATGGAACGGGTTTGATGTTAAGTTAATGAACTCTGCAAGCGTTCGTTCCAGTTATAATGGAGGAAGTTTCGGTCTGAATGTGGACTGGTTTTGGATGTGAATGTCTAGATTTTAAGTTAGGCAATAAAATGAGTTTCAATATTTGTTCGTTTAACAGATACTTTCTATATAGAACAGCTAAATCTGTACCGCTCTTTATTACTACGACGTCTTCCTTACTATTTCCAAATGTTTCCAATACCACTTAAAACTTAGCAACACTGCTGCCTCAAAAATTTATCCAATAATTTTTACAACCATTTTAAATTCTTTCCTTAATTGTCCTATTTGTAGGAACAATGTATTAGGCTGAATTCCTCTCGAGTTACGAGAATTAATTAATTAATAGAACTTCGTCTTTTAAACACGATGTCATCGACTTAGCCTTGTCTTAGTGTTCGGATCTTGCTATTGTTATGATTAACCGTTAGGACTTATACTTGGAAACAATAGATATTTGGTATCCAATTAAACTGTCAAACACCAAGCGGTCACCGGTGACCGCGACCTATTGTTCTTTAATTGTGTCTATAAAACCGGTACTCGACGAGTTAAGTGTTCTCCCCCGTGTGTCCTGTTGCTATAACATCGTTACTTGATAGCCTGCATCTGTCATTAAGAATAGTAGTAACAAAATTGGTTTTCGAATTCCTGAAATCACGAAGATCATGTAAAATAAATCATTGGGAGATACCTGTATCAAGACAATATAAACTTAAAATCTAATATTGCAATAAAAGAAAAGAAACATAGTAAGTTTGCGCGCCGCATTCACTACCATGAATTATTTGCCGTGAAAGATTTGCCATCTTGATTAAATAAATGATAACATAAAGGAATTCAAATCTTTTCCTTCACTCCCAAAATAACATAATTCATGAGTTTTCCTTGTACATATTTACCTACTGTTTGTTACTAAAATTGTATATAACCAAACAGTGTAGCCTTTATCGTACTTTATCGGATATCGGTTAGATAGTGCTGTACAATCAATATCTGTACTTGTAGTCAATGCTAGACCGGTTGAGGGTTACCACTTGTTGGTAATAAGCCTTCAATCTTTACTGCATAGTCGTAAGAACAAAGGATCGAGCTCCGAAAGTAATATTAAAGAAAAAATTCTATAAAACACTTTCGATTCTTAATAGTTATTGAATCTAGTTTAATTTGCAACTGCTAAGCATACTGCCTATAGGCTTTACTCTGTTACCAGGTCATCCTATCAAAGATAGATATTTTTGATTGGTATAGATACTATATGTGATCAACATTAGTAAAGTGCTTGCATTTGTGACTTCTGGGTTCATTAGCAGCTTGAGTAACGAGTTCAATACAGTCCTATTGAAGTTTAGCAGCTTGAGTAACGACTTCAATACAGTCCTATTGAAGTTTAGCAGCTTGAGTAACGACTTCAATACAGTCTTATTGAAGTTTAGCAGCTTGAGTAACGACTTCAATACAGTCCTATTGAAGTTTAGCAGCTTGAGTAACGACTTCAATACAGTCCTATTGAAGTTTTCGCTGCCAGGACCCATACAAATTCTGTTCATAACGTATAGCAGTTCTACCAAATTCGCATTCGTATAAAGTACAGTGTTTTAGTACACATGAAGTCCTAAATTAGTTTCTGTGCCACCGATGACTAATTTTGATTAAACAACATTGGTTATCATTTTATCAAAATGTTCTATAAACATGCAATTTAAAAGAGATCGTGTAAACGGAAAATTTCTTATCTAGGTACTGTTTGTCAACAAAGAAATAAAGACATGCTCATAATTTACTTAGTTCTTCGTGCCAAGTAACGCTCGCGTTTTACATACAAAGATCTCTAACTATAAGTATGTGTTAAACTAGTTTTTATTAAGTAATTGTTACAAAAAAATAATTGCCTAAATCTATTTGTATCAAGCTTTGCTAACCTGTTTGGACACCTGGCCAATTTTGTACCAAGTATCGATTAACAGCTTTGCAAAGCTACTCCTCTATTGTTCAGTAACGTGTTAATCTAGTTCCATTGTCTAGTTTCAATTTTGATCTGAAATTGGCTATTTCGATATTTCCATTAAGCTTAACGCCCACACCAAAATCCATATTAGTTAGACGACGATGGTTAAATGATTAAAAGTTGATTTACTTAACAATATATTGGTCTATAATCATTCAAATTATTCAATTCATACACAAATACTTACATAACATTTTTGTCTCATGAAAGACAGAATCTACAAGACCACCCTCTTATAAAACTTCTCCGGCTTCTTTAATTAACTTTATTAATGCTCATCTAAAATTTTATTCGAGTCTTCCAAGCCATTGATTTTGTACACAAAACAGTCAAGTTCAATTAGGAGACACACTAAGGCTCCGAATTACACCAATTAAAGACCATTCTCTATTAATTTATTACGTTTATAAAGCGATTGTACTCAAATAACTTATAAATAGTGAACAATAATTTAATACTCGATTGTTTCAATACCTCCTGACTCTTATT